TAATTTTAGTTTTGCACTCTGTACAAGAATTTGAATATAAATATAAACATAAATTTGCTACAGAAACTGTTGGAAACTAAGCTTTAATTGCACATTAAAATCACAGCAGTTAAGCATTAATTACTGGAAATGACTGTCTGTCTGATAATGAAGGAAAAACAAAGTGAATAAATGCACAAAACCCTGTAAAAAAAGAAGAGCGAAGCACTGAGGTGACCATCCATGGCGCCATCCTAAATCTGAGACACGAAGAAAAGCAGTTTTATATTTTCACTGATGGTTAATACGTCACGAGAAACTATACTTCCTTTGAGTCGTGCCTCTTATTTCTCCTCCAGCCTTAAAGAACACAAACCCACACATTTGGTTCAAACACCAGATACCACGTGATGAAAATATGAAATTATTACTTTGAGTATATATAAACTACTAAGGTGCTGCAAAGACTTCAAAGTTCACCAAAAAAAAACACAGGAAAAACCTGAGAAAAACTTTCTGTCATGACCAGATGTTTGTTGAAACATTAAACGAGGAATCGATTAAACTCAAACTTTCATCCTTTCCTTAGGAAGAGGAAGGAGGAAGAGGAGGAGCTGGAGAGGATCCTGCGGCTGTCTCTCACCGAGAAGTAATGTAACACAGAGGAACAATCACCTTAATTTATTCTGCTTTATTTTTCAGTCCCAAAATGTTAAATTATTATTATTATTACAAATGTTTTATTTGTCTTTCTGACACAAAGGCTGCTACCACAGATTGTAAAGGAGCGAGGACAGAAATGTGACACAGAAACGCTGACATAATGTTCACTACAACAAGGAGACTGAAGGGAGTCTTTGTTTTTTCTTTTTTATTCAATATTTTTCACAGTCTTGCTGTCTTTGAGTGATGAACGATCCTTAAACTTATAAGACCCACAACAGTGATGAAACTTAATGGAATAACTTATAAAACATGATTATAGCATTTATGTTGGCTTTACTCCTAAGTGTGGAAAATAAAAAAACATACAAAGATCACCTTGACTTACGCTCGTGTTTTTGACTAACTTTAATCTGAGGAACAATCAAATGCAGTTTAAAACAAAAGCTGTGAATCAAAACCAAACATTTCTTTAAGACGAACATAAATCTGGATATAGTCGTCGTTAAAATGACAATCGAATTAAAAGCAAAACTTAAGTTTGTTGGAAATTGTTGTTTTTCTCCCAGTCGTGACTCAAAACCCCCCAGAAATAATAATTAATCACTGCCGGAATAAAATGTTTGATCTTTTGTATTAAAGTAAAAAGTGCAGAAGGTGCAAATAATAATAAATATAAATAAAAAAAATTAAAAATACTCAAACCCAACAAAAACATCACAACAAAATATGACAATTATTTTTTCCCAATTTTTTTAAAATTAAATCTGTATTTTTTTTTTTTTTTTCTGAAAGATTTTAGCATCTCAGAGTCACAGTTGTCAAATTTATATTTTTAGGCTTTAAAAGCTCTTCTTATTAAACAGGCAAAATAATGCAGCTTAACTGAAAACTATAACAAGTTGCACTGATCAATTAAAACCCTTATTTTGTTTAAAAAAAAAGTTTTCTGTGTCATCACACAGCTTTGAAATAAACATATACATTTTACATCAAATGGCTTTTTGTAGTTCACAAATAAATAAAAAAAATCACAAACATGACGATGACAATCAGAGGCTTTGGTGAAACAGGAAAAAACTTCAGGCTGACTTCACAGCAGAAACTTTTAACTTTTGAAGCTGAACTTCACACGCCTGAACAGGCATGCTGATGTTTTCTGGTTTTTACACAACTGCAATTTTAAGTTTTATGAATTTTGGGGGAAATTTTTCCTTTAAATGTTCAACAGACTGTCGATGATGTCACTAACTTCTGAAAAGTCCAACATTGTCATATCTTTTTCATAAACTCTTCTTACTGCCTCAACTTTATTTGGTATATAAATAAACCAGATAAATTGCATTTCCTGCAAAAATGCAGTGTGAATGCTTATTGCAGTAGAACTTGCTGAAAAACAGCTGAAACTAGCTTTAAAAAAGTGCTGAAATGGAAGAACAAGCGTAAATTTGCAGAATAAAGCAGAAAGAACACATTTGCTCAATTAGGTTCAAATAAGCAGAAATAAGCACACAAATTAGGAAATTAGCTAAACAAAAGCTGAAATTGGCAAAAAAAAAAAAAAAAGCTGAAAGGTAGCTGAAAAGGCAGAAAGAAGCTTAAAACTACCAGATGGAAGCATAAAGAGCTGAAATGAGCTCAGAAAATGTGGAGTTAGCTGATAAAGGTAAAATTAGCATCAAAAGAGCTAAATAGTAGCTGAAAGAGCATAAAAAGCTCCAACTTGATGAAAAAAACTGAAAGGAACAAACTGAAATTAGCATAAAAAGTTACTGGTAATTGGGCTGAAAGTAGCTGAAATTAACAAAAACAAATTTATCTGAAAACCGCTGAAATTAGCTAAAAATATACTAAAAGTCTAGCTGAAAAGTTAGAACAAGCTTAAATTAGCAGATAAAAAGCAGAAATAACACATTTGCCCAATTAGGCTGAAAGAAGCAGAGATTAACAAAACATGGAAATTGTCTCAAAAAAGCTGAAATTAGCAAAAATCAGCTGAAAAGTAGCTAAAACTAAGAAAGAAGCTTAAATTACTAGAAGGAAGTGGAGAGCACATTTTTGCTGAATTAGGCTGGAAAAAGTTTAAATTATTGCAAAAAATGTGGAATTAGCTGAAAAAGCTAAAATTAGCATAAAACGGTCAAATAGTAGCTGAAATAGTAGAAAAAGCTGAAACTTGCAGAAATTGATGTAAAATGAACTCAATTCATTTTCGATGGAAAGAAAAACTAGCAGAATATGTTAAATATATCAAAAAAGCTAAAGTTGGACCAACACCAAAGTCATAGCAGGATTGTCCTGAAAGAGCTGAACATTTTGATTTATGATTTGTTGAAATAGCACAAAAATTGTGGAATGAGAAAGATGCTGAATAATGTACGGAAGAAACATTGATTATAATAATGTGAATGCTTCATAAACGGTCACACTATTATGCATCAGTTTGTCTCATTTCACCCGATGTGTCTCACTGCTACAAGACGAAGAGTTTTGAAGATCGGACGTAGTTTTTGCACAGGGAATATTTATTTGAGGCTTAGTTTTCAGTCTTCCTCTCTTAGATTTGCTGTCAGGGAGTGACAGACACAAGTGTGTGGTTACCATGGCGACCCTATTGAGCCACTGGCAGCAGCTTTAACATTTGTTTTGAACTTGGTTCTCTTTACACTTCCTGTATAGTTTATACATAAAAAGGTAGGTCGTTTTCTCTGCTTAGGTTATAACAAAATAGAAACTTTGGGCCGCCGCTGCTTCGACGCCTTTCAGGATTTATCAGGAAAAAAACTTCCTAGTTAACAGAGTGAATCCTTGGATTTCAAATGTAGGATGGAGACAGTTGTAGTCCCTGAATAAGTTTCAGTTTCACCAAATGCTGACCAGCAGTCCTGTTATTTTCATTTTTATTACAAAAACTTCATATAAACTTTGTTTACATGACTAATTGTTTTGTGTTGCTTTTTTTTAATTGTGAGCAGTCGTGAAAAAAACAAACACTTAAAACAATTTGTCCAGTGGCACTGACGCTCTCAGCTGTCAGTCGCAGGCGAACCTCAGACCTGAGAGCTTCATGTCTCCGGCTGTTGAGCTGCTCCACAATGCCTTGCAGGTTTCACGACTTGGTCACAAATGGCACCCTTCTCCGCTTCCATTGATCTGTAGATGTGTTCTCGCCTTATTTTTAAAGCTTTTTGAAGCTCACTGTCCAGCTGAGCTAGTACAGACAGAAAACAAGTTACTTTTTCATTTTAGCTACATGAACCTTGAGAGGACAAACTAAAGGCAATACGTTGTAAAAAAAATACCAAAATACAAATGCTGGGAGCTGAATGACTGCTGAAATGTGCAGAAGCTGAAACGGAGTTGTTAAAGCTAAACGAAGCAGAACACTATCTAAAAAAGGAGTAAAACAATAGGAAAAAGCTAAAAGTAGTAAAAGTTGAAAAAGGTTAGATACGTTTCAAAAGGCTAGCTAATAGCTAAAAAAATTAAATGCTAGAAAAAAGGTCAGCTAAAACCTAAAAGTAGCGGAAAACTAACAGCAACAAAAGGCTAGCTAGAAACTAAAAGTAGCAAAAAAGTAAGAAAAGAATAAATTAGCAAAAAGCTAGATAAAAGCTAAATGTATCACAGTAGTATCTAAATGTTAAAAATAGCAAAAACTAGCAAGAACAAACTAGATAACAGATAATAATAAATAATAGATAACTAAACGTAACAAATATAGCAAATGGCTAATTAAAACTAAAAGTAGTTGGAACATTTACTAAAAACTAAGTTATCAGAACTGTTTCTAAAAGCTAACATAAGCAAACAGCTAGCTAAATGCTTAAAGGAGCAAAAGGCTATTTAAATACTAAAAGTAGCAAAACATTTAAACGCTAAAAGTAGCAAAAGGCTAGCTAAAAGTAGCAAAAGGCTAGCTATAAGCTAAATGTTGCAAAACTAAAATAGCAAAAGGATATTTAAATGTTGCATTTAGCAGAATGGTAGCCAAAACCTAAAAACACGTAGTATCTGTCTCCTGAATGAGCTGAACAGTTTTATTAATGAATGATTAAAATAGTACAAATTGTGCAAAAGTAATTGGACTTCAAAATACATACAAGAGCAAAAAACCCATGGAAACAAAAAACGGTAACAAAAACATTAATAATAAAATAAAAATAATAAAAACAAAAGTATTCACCTAAGTACAGGTTGTTGGGCCTGTGATCGTCTGGCATGACGTATTCTCCCTCATCAGCCTTCTCTGGAAGCAGGTGGAACTTTTCTTTGGAATGTAAAGGCATCATCGGCGCCACTTGAGCACTGGGCAGAGTTTTATGTGAAGGCGAGGAGATGCTGATGCACTTTGGAGGTGGGGATGTGACTGAGGAAGACAAACAAACAGCTGTCAGGAGCTGCGGAGCTACACCTGGATGTTTTTCAGAGACGGCGTCATCTCACTGATGCAAGTGTCGTAGGGCTGAGAGTCAACGTAAGGACAATAACGGTACTCTGTCTTCTCCATGAAGTAACTGAGCACTTCGTCCAGGGAGTTGACGGTTACCTGCAGAGTGGAGGGGTCATGATGAGGACAATGTTTGAAATCTGGTTTTGTTGGAATCAGTCTGGGTTAACTTCCGGTTAAATCTGATTTCAGGCATTGAGGTCTCAGACGTAAATTTTAATCTCAACTTGGATTAAATTAAACGCATCATAATGAACTGTGGAACAACTCAAAATGTGATATTACAGTTACAGGAAGAGCTCTAAAGTGGTTTAAGTCATATTTATCTGATGATTCCAGTTTGTTCCTATTAATTATGATTCTTCTTCATATAGTCAGGAGGTCAAGGTTAGTCATGGTGTTCCTCAGGGTCCAGTACTTGGACCAGCACTCTTTACATATTATTTTATAATGTACACGTTTTTAGACAGCACAGGATACATTTTCACTGTTATGCTGATGATACTCAATTATATTTAACCTTAAAATCTGACAAATCCAATCAGTTAATTAGATTACAAGATTGTCTTAAAGGCATAAAACCCAAATAACTTTAAATTTTCTGTGTTTAAACTCAGAAAAGGCAGAAATCATGGTTTTTGGACCTGATAATTTTAAGAACAAACTGCAGCCTTTCTCTTCTTCAGGATGGCATTAATTTGGCTTCTGGTTCTAATGTAACAAAGCTTGGTGTCATTTTTGATTAGGATGTCTTTTAACCCCCCACTTTAAAAAAAGTTACCAGAACTGCTTTCCTTCACCTGTGCAATATCACTAAGATTAGAAACATCTTGTCCAAAAAAGATGCAGAAAAACTGGTCTATGGATTTATCACTTATAGGCTGGACTGTTGTAACTGTTTATTATCTGAGTGTCAAAAACTTCAGTTGATCCAAAACAGCTAGAGTTCGGATGAGAGACTAGATTTCTCCAGGTTTTAGCTTCTTTCCATTGGCTCCCCATCATATTTAAAATAGAATTTAAAATCTCACTTGTAACATGCGAAGCACTCGACAACCTAGCTCCATCTTAAACTACAGATCATGTTGTTCCATATTTTCCTAACGGAGCGCTTCGCTCTCAGACTGCAGGTTTACTTGTGGTTCCTAAAGTTTCTAAAAGTAGAAAGGAAGGCAGAGCTTTTAGTTATCAAGCTCCTCTCTTGTGGAAACATTGTCTACTTTTAAGATTAGGTTTAAGACTTTCCTTTTTGATCAATCCTATAGTTAGGATTAGTTTGGGTTTCCTGAACTATCCCTTAGTTATGCTGCTATAGGCTTAGACTGCTGGAGGACAAACTGGCCACATTTCTACATTTGCATTTTATAATGCACGTGGATGGAACAGCACCTTGAAATTCTTTGTATTCTGAATTGGCGTTATGTAAAAATAATAGAAATTAACTGAATTTAAAGAAACTAAAACAGTTCATTTGTAAGAAACTTTGTCCCAGTTCGTGTGGCAGTTGCTATGGAAACCAGGTGCCGAATTTGTCACCGTCTCTAAGCTCAGACTGGGACTGGTAAACTGTCAATATGACTTGTGGCGTAAGATAAACCTTCAGCTTTACCTCACTGAAGCTCGAACAAATAAATATATTGGCTGTACTCGTTTATTTTATTTCCCTGCATTTTGCTGGGATTTACTGAGTAAAATCTCCTCGCTGTTAATATCTTTGAAAGTTACCGTACACATATTGTTAATGATTACCTTTTTAATCCTTTATGGCTTTTGATGACTTTGAAAAATGACCCTTGAGTTCTAGATGTCTGATATGTTCCAGTAAATAAGGCTTTTTTATTTTATTTTATTTGTTTCTGGCTAAAAATCCTCCATACTTTTATTTTAAAATTCTGATAGAAACATCTAATTTTATGAATCATCTTTGTATTTAAAACTGCAGGTACTGAGGGGCACACGTTTAAACTTTTTTTAGTGTTTTATGGCATCCGAGTATTAACTTAGTAGTTTTTTTTTTGTTTTGTTTATGTACTTCAGATGTCGGACGAGCGTCTGAATACTTCGTTCATTTCCGTCTTTTACAAACCAGCAGGCAAGTTTAAAACCGAGCATGGAGTTCTGCGGTCCTCTGAAACTGTAAAACAAAAATAATGGACTCACCGGAGTGTCCAGCTCGATCACGTAGCCAAAGTTTGTGTTGGTCACCCTGTAGTTCTTAAAGGACACACCACTGGAACACAACAAACGTCATGATTATCGTCCTAAATTAAAATACACATTTCTAATCTATGAAGTTTTTCTGCGTGCACTTGGTGTAATCTAGATACAAATAGCTCTGTTTGTATTTGCCGGAGGTTTTGTATGGATAGAGGATCAGACCTGGTGGTCTTTTGTCTGATGGTCAGGGCGTAGTTCTTGGGAATGGCGGACGGGCGCAGGATGATGCTCCCGTTCTCCGGGCTCCCGTCGAGCATCTTCTCGGCCTCCTGTCGGCTCACGTCAAAGAAACAGCTGCAGGGGATGAAGAGAGGGGAAAAACATGACTGCACTGCTGGTGAAAGTGTAACGTGAAGACAGGAAGTGGAACTCACTCAGGCATCGTTGGGATTTTAGGCATCATCTTGTTCGATCGGGGTGGGAGGGGAGGCCGAGTCAGCTGGGGGTTCCTCTCTTTCTCCTGAGCCAGAACCTCCTCCAGCTTCATCATCTGACCGGGCAGCAGCTGCAGCTTTTTGGGAATCTCTTTCTGCAGGAAGACATCCTTTGAGTTACCTGACAGGCCTGTGACTCACCAGAGAATGTTGCAAGTCATGGTCTGCTGCTGGGAAAACGAGTTTTATGGCACATTTATGAGCGCATGACCTCTTCCTGATGTTTTATGAGAACAGTCTACGACTTCGATAGATGTCCAAATCCCCCTCCGTACTTTTCATTTCTCTCCAGAGCGTCCCTCTACCTCTCCAGGCTCTCTTCCATCTACTCTTTACTCTCACAGTAGACCACAGAGTAAGATGGTCACAGATTTGACCTAAATATTAGTTTATTTTTAATTCACATGATACAAACTGAATTATTTATTTTGAAAACTTACACAAGAGATACGTTCTAGGAAATATTTAAAACAAATACCTTTATAAAGGATTTATTAATGCTTTGTAAATGATTTAATGCTTTATAAAGGAATTAATAATGCTTTATAAAGGATTTAATAATGCTTTATAAATGATTTAATAATGCTTTATAAAGGATTTAATAATGCTTTATAAAGGATTTAATAATGCTTTATAAAGGATTTAATAATGTTTAATAAAGGATTTAATAATGTTGTATAAAGGGTTTATTAATGTTTTATAAAGGAGGCCTTTGTGAGTTTAAAATTTTACAAAGCACTGGGAAGCATTTGTATCACAGATATAAAACACTGTTCATACACTGAAACAGGCTCTCTTTTGACAAGGTCAAGCTCTCTACTTTTAGTTATTTGGATAAACGCAACTACTTTTTGAAAACTAAATAAAAAACATTGTGTTTACATATGCTCATAGTGTGAACGTAACTCACCGACAAATGTTTGATATTTAAAATCAAAACTCTAAAGAAAGCAAGTGAACAACAAGAATGCTGGCTTTAGTTTGGAGCTTTGCACAGTTAACATTTGTTAATATAATATCTTATTACAATTTGTTATTATATTATATATTTTATTATTTAAGAGCTGCTGCCTCTCAGCGAGCAGGTCCTTGGTTCAAACCCCGGTCCAGGGGCCTTCTGGGTGGAGTTTGCATGTTCTCTCCGTGTATGCGTGGGTTTTCTCCGGGTACTCCGGTTTCCTCCCACAGACCAAAAACATGCATGTTAGGCTGATTGGTAACTCTAAATTGTCCCTAGGTGTGAGTGAGAGAGTGAATGGTTGTTTGTCTCGTTTGTCTCTATGTGGCCCTGTGATGGACTTGCGACCCGTCCAGGGTGTACCCCGCCCCTCGCACAGTGATTGCTGGACATGGGCACCAGCGACCCCCGTGACCCAAAATGGAATAAGCGGGTAAAGAAAATGGATGGATGGATGGATGGATTTTATTATTTAAAGTACTTTGTTCAGCCTGCTCTCCAGATTAAAGCCATTACCTAGAGGTATTTCTGCTTTATTAGCCACAACTTGCTGTTATTCCTCATGCTTGTTTTGTTTGTTTCCTTACTTTGACCACCGTCAGGATGTAGCCCCTCCATTCCTCTCCTGTATCAGCACAATCCATCTGTCACCAAACAAGAAACACAAAGATGTAACGAGAGAGTAATTTATCTCGTTAAACTTTGGGGACTGCTGATGTAGAATAGGGAATCCGTTTGCAACAGACCTTCAGCTGCATCTCCCCTGAAGGCAGAATCAGGGTGAAAATAGGTGGTTCCCCCTTTTTAAAGAAAGACTTTAACTCCATGGACCTCAGCTGCTCCAGGTCCAGCCTCTCTGTGTACTGACAAATACACACACACATTTACAGTCACTGTGATATCAGCAGGACTTCTAGTCCTCTGCTGGGTTTATTTGGCTTCAGATTTTCACCGTCAAACAACCCTCGAACACATTTTTAGAGACAGTTTCCTTACTGTGTCCTGAGTGTCATCGTTGTACAGAAACAGCGTCGCTCCTCTCAGCTCTCCATAGAAATTTCCGAAGTTCTGGAAGTCATAAAACAATATTTTGGGTTGCTGATGTGGACCAAATGATCACCTTTGTGCATTAGGGCAAAGCAATAAAATAAGTAAATTCCCGCTCATGGCTGTGGTTCCAAAGTGCAGCTTCAAGCTGCTTACAGTAAATCCAACGCATGATTTGCACTTCAGTGGTTGTTTAAAGGTTTACAAGCAAAACCTGAGAATGTGTTTTTTTATTTTTAGATTGTGTAAATGATGCTGCACCACACTACTGCTTTACCAGTTTGGTGGCGTCTTTTTTTTGCAATCAAGCTTGCACAAGCACCTATCTCCTGAATGAGCCGAATGTTTCGGCTCATTCAGGAGATAGGTGCTATGACTTTTGGTTTTTGTTTGTTTTCTTCTATTCAAAACTTACGTTTCCTTCCCATAGAAACACACTGAGACCTCCACAGTTCATTTAAAAAACATTGTTCTCTTTGAAATCATCTTCTGTCTCAGTTTCTTTTGCTCCTTTTAGCGTTTAACAAGCTTTTTGCTACTTTTAACATTTCGCTGTACTTACCCTTTTAACCCTTGCTGCTTTTAAGTAGCATTTTGCTACTTTTAACTTTTAGGTAGCCTTTTGCTACCTTAACTAGCTTTTTTTTTTTAAACTTTTTGTTTAATCTAACTTTTGCTGCTTTTTAAAAGAATGCTGCTATATTTAGCTTCTAGGTGTCAACTTCCGGCATTTAGCTAGAAATGTGCTATAGTAATCATACTCAGTTTTTAGCTTCTTATGCTAATTTTACCTTTCAGCCATTGTTCTAAAATTTTTAGATCATATATATATATATATATATATATATATATATATATACATGTATATATGATCATATGATATATATAATTTTCTGCTACTTTTAGCTTTCAACTAGCCTTTTGCTATCAAAGTTCATGCTCAGTAATCAGGTAAAAAATCCATCAAAGTTCAGTTTGGTCATCTGGATGGTTTCTTTTTTTTTTTTTTTTTGGAGAAATTTCATCCTTCATCTAAAAAAAAAAAAAAAAAAAGAAACCGTCCAGATGACCTGACTGAACTTTGTTGGATTTTCTACCTGGATTATTGAGCACGAAGTTTGATGTTTTGAACCACTTTGGCCGTGGCTGCCTCAGAGGAGTCCACAGAGGAGAGGGCAGGCCCCAGAAACCATCTTATCACCAGTTTGCCCTCTCTGTGAGTGTGCTGCCTGTGGGACTGAGTTTGTTGTGGCTCCTCAGACTGATGAAGTCCTTTGGATGAAGGACGAAATGTCTCAACAAAAGAAAGAAAGCGTTCAGATAACTAACCTTTTCCTACTTTTTGTTTCTAGCTACAGTATTTTACTTTTAGTTTTTCGTTATAGCCTTTTGCCACTTTAGGTTTTTAACATGTTTTTTTTTTTAGCTTAAACAACTCAGTTTTAACTTATCTAGTAAAGTCCATCAGTCAATCAGCTTTCCATTCATTTTAGCAGGAAATGCAGGTTCTTTAGTTTAATGGTTTACACATTTTTTAAAAGCAGTTACATTTTGGCTTTAATGACTGAAGGATTTTTGTTGTTACCTTCTCTTTGGAGCCTTTCTTCAGCAGACGTCCAGAGTAGTAAAGGGGCAGAGCTGTGATGGTCTCCCTCCTCTTGTGGACAACTCTTTGGTGCACAGCCATGATCCAGTTCTTTGTCAAACTTCCAGACCTAAACTTTTGTAGTGCAGTTTGTTTCACTCAGCTGAGTCCTGGGAAACTTCTGAGCTTCTCTGTGTCTCTTTAGAGGCTGATATATTTTCTTAATTCATCACTGACCCGTAAGCCTTCGATGAGCTTTCTTTCAGTCCGAGAGCTGCTGTGTGAGAGAATGAGGAAACGCTGCACTGATTTATGAATAAGGAAGTAGTTAGTGTAAAATAAAATAAAAAATAAATATCTGCTTTTGTACTTTGAACCTGCAGAACGTAGCACAGACTGCTTTGCACCACCTACCCAGGAGCAATAAAGCATGTAGTTATGTACAAACACACACACATACACACACACTCGCACACCTTTCAAGTTACAACGCCATTAATCATTTACATGAAACAAATGCTATCAGAAAATAAATCGGTCGTTTTGTCTAAACAAATTCCAGTTAATCAGCTTTAATCTAGATTTTTATTTTAAATTTGGATATACTTGTTCACATAAAATACCAATAATGAAAAAAATAAACAAACAAATATACATAAACACAGGCAATACTTATGCATACAGCATCCTGGAAAAGATTTCAAACATTTCCTTATTAATTTATGTACATGGCATCAAATCAAAAAGTCTAACAGTGATAAGTTCTGAAGTTGAGAAGACAGATTATTAGAAATGCTTGATTAATGAATAAACACCTTTTACTTGTAGTATCTTATCAATATGAAGTGACATTATTTATAGCTATACTTGCATCTATATTGAACAGGTCTACTTTAAACCTGATCTACAAAAGCCAAACGTGTTGATACCATCTGAAAATGTGCCTCATTGAAGCTCATAAAGCTCAGTTCAAACCTTCAGACGCCACAAACGGTAAATAAAATTCACCCAAGATACCAGAGACACCTGGTGGTAACAGGAAATCCACCAAATCAAACAAAACATTCTGCTGTTTGCAGAACATTTGAAAATGTCCTCAAAAATGTACCTTAAATGCCCAAATTTAGTTTAAAATTTAAATAAGAGTAACATCTGATCAAACTGTGACAACTTATCCAACTGAAAAGCCAAAGGTGTTTGTAAGCAAAATATCTCATGAACCAAAGGACAAAACTTTAATGAAAGTCTCAAAGAGTTATCAGTGGATGAACTTGTACAAGACATTAACTTATGGAATAAACGTGATTCAAGATGGCTGCCAGAGCTAAGCTTATCAAGCACAAAATGGCGTTAACTGTCATTTTAGAGGTACTGAGCAAAAATTTGGTGTAATGGCTGAGCCTGCTCCCCAGCACATATCTGAGCGATAACAGACCACACAAGATATTTGATTAAAACTGTGCCACAAACTTTGGCTGTTAGCAAAATATTTAAGGTAAAAGTGGACGGCTTTTAACAAAACTCAAAGTAATAATTGGGTGGACTTATGCAAATGCTTAACTTTTTGAGTCAGCCCATTTTACAATGGCCGCTACATTTGAACCAACATAAAAAAATTAAAAAAACAAGAATGGCTACAACTCAGCTAAATTTGACAGATTTTAAGCTAAAATTTGGTGCAGTAGTAGCTGAGCATCACTCCAAACACATGCTAAAGGTGACACATTTAGAAATATTCTATCTTAAACTTTGGCATTAACTGCTCAAATAAATGTTAGCAAAATATTAGAATTTAATGCACTTTTCAAAAAGTAATCACTGGAAGTACAGCTGATAGCTTTTAGAGTTAACCCAATTCAAGATGGCTGCCACACTTATTTAACCTTAACCAACACAGAAATGGCTGTAATTAAATAAATCTCACAAATATTGAACTACTTTTGGTGTGGTAGTAACTGAGAATGACCCTCAACACAAACATCTTACAATATTTTATTAAATTGAGCACAAAGTTGTTTACAAGGCTTGACCTAAATGGCTACAACTTTGTTCCTTTTCAGCATTAGATGCTCTTTGTTTAAAATGCTGGGGTTAAAGGTGGCGGGTGATATGCATTATTTCAAATAGGACCAGTACTAGTTCCACTTTAGCCATGGCCTCGTTCTCAAAGCCATTCGCTTGTTCAAACGGTCAAAATTGAACAATTTCTCCAAACTGATTTTGTCAGAAGGCAAACTGAAACGGGTAAGATATTAGCTGCTCAGAACCTTTCCCCAGATCTCCACTTCAGAAATTCAGACTTACTTTGAAGGACCACATTACACCACACTTATACACACTGTCAAACTTTAAAAATATTAAACTCTTCTCTTTTGACCTTATAAAACTTTAAATGTTTAAAATAAAATCCATACAGTGAGAGTATTTTCAATTTTATTCAGAGAAAGAGGTTAGCCAAGAAGAAATATGACAGTGAGAAGACTGAAGAGAGGAGACAGGAATATAAGGAGATGCAAGGTAGAGCAAACAGGGAGGTAGCTAAGGCAAAACAGAAGGCGTATGAGTTGTATGGGAGGCTGGACACAAGAGGGCGAGAAGGACTTGTACCGATTGACAAGACAGATGGACCAGGCTGGAAAGGATGTGCAGCAGGTTAGGCTTGTTAAAGATAGGAATGGTAATGTTCTAACAAGTGAGGAGAGTGTGATGGGAAGATGGAAGGAGTACTTTGAGGAGCTAATGAATGAAGAGAATGAAAGAGAAAGAAGAGTAGGGGTCATAGAAACTGTGGACCAGGAAGTGGGAAAGATTAGTGAGGGTGAAGTTCAGAAAGCTCTGAAAAGAATGAAGATGGGGAAGGCATTAGGACCTGATGACATACCAGTGGAGGTTTGGAAATGTCTTAGAGAGATGACAGTGAGGGTTTTGACTCAAATATTCAATGGCATATTTGAGGGTGAGAAAATGCCTGAGGAATGGAGAAGAAGTGTGCTGGTGCTCATTTTTAAGAACAAGGGTGATGTACAGAGTTGTAGCAACTACAGGGGAATTAAGTTAATGAGCCAAACAACGAAGATCTGGGAGAAAGTTGTGGAAGCTAGACTTAGACAAGAGGTGACTGTGAGCAGCAGTTTGGTTTCATGCCAAGAAAGAGCACTACATATGTCATCTTTGCTTTGAGGATGCTGATGGAGAAGTACAGAGAGGGTCAGAAAGAACTTTGTGGATTTAGAAAAAGCATATGAAAGGGTGCCGAGGGAGAAGGTGTGGTATAGGATGAGGAAATCTGGAGTGGCAGAGAAGTATGTTAGACTGGTACAGGACATGTATGTGTGCTGTAGGTGTGACAGATTGCTTCAAGGTGGAGGTGGGATTGCATCAAGGATCGGCTCTGAGCCCCTTCTTGTTTGCTCTGGTGATGGACCAACTAACAGAGGTGATCAGGCAGGAATCCCTGTGGAATATGATGTTTGCAGACGACGTGATCTGTGGTGAGAACAGAGAACAGGTGGAAGAGAACTTGGAGAGGTGGAGGTAATCGCTTGAAAGAGGAGGAGGTCACAAAGGTGCAGGACTTCAAGTACTTGGGGGGCCCCACTGTTCAAGAAAATGGAAAAAGTGTAAAGAGGTGAAAAAGAGAGTCCAGGCAGGATGGAGTGGATGGAGAAAAGTTTCAGGAGTGATTTGCAACAAAAAGGTGTCAGCAAAGGTCAAAGGAAAATTTTACAAGACAGCGGTGAGACCAGCTATGTTGTATGGTCTGGAGACAGTGGCACTGACAAAAAGACAGGAGAAAGAACTGGAAGTAGCAGAAATGAAGATGTTGAGGTTCTCCTTAGGAGTGACAAGGATGGATAATATTAGGAATGAGCTCATCAGCACAAGTTGAACAACTGGGAGATAAAGTTAGAGAGGCCAGACTGAGATGGTTTGGACATGTCCAGAGGAGGGACAGTGGGTATACTGGTAGAAGGATGTTAGAAATGCAGCTGCCAGGAAAAAGACAAAGAGGAGATATATGGATGCAGTTAGAGAGGACATGGAGGTAGTTGGAGTGAGGACAGAGGATGAAGAGGACAGAGTGAGAAGAGGAGGATGACTCGTAGTGGCGACCTCTGAAGAGGGAAAATCCGAAAGAAGAAGAAGATGATGCTTTAAGATTTTTAAGTGTTAAAATGGAAAACATGTTTAACTCAAAGCATAAATTAGAGCACATCTACAAATAGATTTTCATGCCCTGTTAAAAACATAAATATAAAATAGGTTGTATTTTTTATTTTAATGGGAGGAAACTTTATGCAAAAAAAACTCCCAGGACTGATGTGATGTTCTTCGACCCTGCCGGTTCCCTCAGCAGCTCGGACATTCTCTTTTAAAGTCCTCTTCGTTGAGGGAACGTCAGAGAAAACAACACTGTTCTCCATCATGGAGCTTCTAATGAAGCCACCTCTCAGCCCCCGACTGAGCAGAAAATGACCACAGGGACTGGAGATAAGGACATCCTGAAGCGATGAGCCATCATTGGGCCCCTCAGATAACTACGTTTGTTTTCTTGGTGCAAATAATTTAAATAAATTCTTGTAAGAGAGGTAAGCTATTATCGCCTACTGCCGAAAACAAAATAGCAATAATGTTTTTGTCTGTGTGTGGATATTTTTTGTGTCTTGTTAGCAAATTGTCTCATGAACAACTACATGGATTTTAATAAAACTCTCAAATTAATCATAGAATGGATCTCTACAACTGATTAACTTAGGGAGTCAATTCCATTCAAGATGGCCACCACAGCTCAGCAATGTCCCAACACACAAAGATGTCTACAGATCAATCAGTTTATCAGATATTGTCCTAAAACCTTGTATGGTAGTAGCTGAGGGTCATTCACAGCACATACTTTGAGGGCTACACGTTGCACAACAAAACTTGGGCCTTAACTGTTGGAGTCGACCCTGTTTGTCTGTTAGCAAAATATCTCTAACTGGACAGAATGTAATGAAACTTTCAGAAATTGATTCTTGGCTGCACAGCTAGAATTTATTAATTTTTGCAGTCAACCCTATACAAGATGACGTCCATAGCTAATTAACATTAGTTAGCATAAATGGCTATAACTGTCAGGTTCACAGACATTGAGCTAAAATTTGACGCGGTGGTAGCTGAGACTCATCCCATATCTTTACAACTTGCTAGATCTTTCAGATTAGAATAATTTTCTTTTGAGGTTTGAACAAAATGGTTGTGTAGAACTTGTTTTGTTTCATGATTACAAGATTTTAGTTTAAAACCGACATGAAATGCGGCGGAGCAACATGCATTCCGTCAGTGCTCGGTTTTTAATTTAAACCTTTTGTCCCGTTTTATCTCGACGTTGGACAAGTTGATTTTCATTCTTCAGTTGTCACCTGAAGGTCCTGAAGAAGAAGAAGAAATTCACATCAGAGACAATATTTTTAATGAAACACACGCCATCGCACACCGACGTGGACTCACCTGACAGGTCTGAGTTATAATCGGCCTGCAGCCGGGGGTGAAAGGTCAGGCCGGGGCCAAACTGTTCCAGCATAGCGGAGCAAGAACGCTGCTGGTCGTGGCGTTCACGGCAGGAAAAGTCCCCTCCTGGAAAACAAAACCGCTGTAGAGCAGATTCACTTGTCTTCTCACCTCCGTGTCGATTTGTTCCAATTAGAACGATGATAAACCAGCCCACACGCCGGGGAGCGCTTCTGTGGGTAACTACGTGTATTTTTCTTTACAGCCGCCTGCTCTAATGCCTTCCATGATGGACGGGTGGAGGTGTAAGCAGGCCTGTGATTACAGGCTGAGGCGGGGAGGAGGAGGGAGCTTGCTGGCTGAGAGGACGGAGGCCTGCGGAGGCGAGGTGGACCTCCTGCTGTGGAGATGGTCCAAGCAGGTCTCATATTAACACAGGACCAGAGTCTTACACATCTGTCTGCTCTGAGGCCTGGAGAACCGAATGCAGTCTGCTCCAGAAAAAAAATAAAAATAAAAATTGCACTGACAAGTTTCATCTGCAGGGAAAGGTCTCATTTAGTTTGGAAACACAGGAAGTCGGGAGGCAGATAAAGGCGATGGGAACAATGGGCAAACTATATATATAAAAAAAGAAGCATTTTTCTTGTTTTGACGATAGATATTTCTAAAAAGAGACGAGTGGAAAAGTATTAAAACTGTCTGAGAGAACATTAAACTTTTGAATCCAAATGCATTTCCCCTCCTTTCTGCGCACTTACTGATATTTGTACATCACCTGGCTCTGAAGGCAGTGTTTGTGTGTATATGTTTGGAGTAAACACAATGTGAACACAGTATTCCTGCTGACTCTCACCTTCTTTGTGTTTGACGTACTTCCTAATTCCCAGAATCCCACTTATTGAAAACCTGGACTCGGAGGAACAGTGTGTTTCCATGGAAACGGAGGATGCTAAAGAGTCAGAGGTCATGAAGTGTTAGTGAGAGGAAAACTCGTGAGGAAAAGTAGGACTAAAAGGAAATATACTCACTAACTTCACAAGACTTGCACTGGATTTTGTTCCTGATGATCCTGCAAAGACAGACTCATTTTACAGATTTGTGACGTCTCACACGCGCACATATGCACAGGGTAACTCGTACCTGTTGACCGAGCTTATGCTGGGCACGTTGTCATCATCACACACTCGCTCCAGCACCAGCCTGTCTCGGATCTCCCAGGCGAACATGTTGGGGTAGTTGTGTTTCAGCTGCAGGATCTTTTGCACCACTGTGGGCGTGGCCACTTTGGGTTTAGAACCCCCGATGAGCCCTGGGCGGACGCTTCCCGTCTCGTTGTACCTGAGCAAACACACGGGACAGATAGACATGTGACCTGAGGCTGCTGCAGCCTTCAGTTTACGTCATTAAATCAAATTATCAGCTGTTGGACAACGTAAACTGAGGACTGGACGGAGAAGATGGTTTGAGAGAAGTCTGAAGAAAGCCATCTGCACTTAACACGTTTTTCCAGAGGTTTCCCACCATTTGACACCGTTTTGATAATCACCAACCAGTTTCACACATTTCACACCTTTGTGCCTGCAACCAAAACATCTCGACTGTGAAACCGTCCAACAGAGCTGATCCTTGGAAATAAGGGGAGGGAAGGGGATTTGCTTGTGTGTTGAGTCTGCACAGCTACTCTACTGGTTAGCTTGGAGTTTGAATTAAAATAGTTTGAAGAAAAGACAAAAATCATATAAACAAAGAAAAGAAAGTCAACTAATGTGAAAAAAAATCAGCTTGTGGTTTTGAAAACAGTCATCTTCCAATGTTCTGTAAATAATCAAACATTTTAAATACTAGTTTAAAAATAAACAAAAAGGGCATAAAAATACATTTTCCATATTTATATTCAATGACTATTTTATTCTTTATGAAACAGAAAAATAGTGAAAACTTTATAAAAACTGTGGCGACTAAATATGGACATGTTTTTAGACGCGTGTCTTTATTTTATTTCTCAACATATAGTCTAAATCTCACGTGAAAGAAAGGATGCACCTTTATTTATTATAATTATTATTAATTTGGTCGCATGTCTGTGAGCTTTAATGAAACTAAGATAAAACAGTAAGAACTCCAAGAGCAACAAAATGTTGCACTTTCTGAATGTGAACTTTCATAAATAAAATAAACCTAAAAAAACAAGTTGTTTCAGAATAACCTATAAACATTTAAAGATGTATGATTGTTTGTCACCATCCATCCCACTCTTCCACTTGATTTAAGTTATTGTGCAGAAATCTGAGGTAGAACCTTAAAAAAACAGTCCTCTACTGAGTAAATCAGTGTATAGAGCCCAATCAGTGATTTAAATCACATTCATATGATGATGGAGCACACGAGACATGAGGCGTTCAGTGTCGTGCCCGTGCAGGGACACATGGGAATCGAACCTCCGACTCTCTTGTTAAAAGATGACCGCCTCAAAAAAGAGGAGTTGCATATCTGTGAATCTGTAATTTTCCTGCAACGATTTTTAAAGGAGAAATATAAATGCTTCCAGTGGTTTCAAAGCTGCTCCCCTGCAGACACACCTGTGCGGCTCGGCCTGATTAAAGGACTAATTGGTTTCACCTGTGCAGGATTTTACTGACGCAGCCGTGGCTGACGCGCAGGCGCCGTGAGATGTCGCAGGGACGCGCGCCGAGCTGCGCGAGCTCCACGATGCGCTGCCTCAGCTCGTGCGGTAAGGGTCGGCCGTTGATGAAGACCCCGCCGAGCTGGTTCACCCCTCCGTGTCCTGAACGGCGAGACCCGGTTCAGAAAGCCGCAGAACCACTTTTAATGGACTGAGATCGGGTTTAATACTTACTGCGCAGAACCGCGAGCGGAACCAGGTTCAGGTCCAGTTCCATCATAAACCTCCGACTTTAAATAAAATAATAATAAAAAAAAAAAAAGTGTCCGGCTTGTTTAAACTACATCGTTACATTTGGCAAACATTTAATCCAAATCCGTAAAGATTTAACTGTGAAAATGAATTAAAGACAGAAAAAAAAAAGTTACAGGTAACTTTGGATCTGCTAACACCTGAGCATCTGCAGGAGTCTGAACACTCAGAGGAGGAGCTGCTTGGTTTATTGTACGAGTAAAAACAAGGAGGGGGCGTTCAGGCTCCTGCAAAACATGACTTGCACTGCTCATAATTTAGTCTGAATGTTTAATTATAAAAACAGGTTAGCTTATCTATTGACTAAATTGATAACATTTAGTGCATAAAGCAATATATTTAACTGGTAATAATTTAGAACTAGTTCCAATTATTGCTGGAATAACTTAAAAGGTACTGAAGCAGTGTAAGAATTCACAGGTTTAGATCCATCTACAGCTGATATATTACAGCATAAATCAAAAATATCTGCTGTTTGAAGCTTTTGAAAGTTAGTAACAAATCAGGTTTTAAATTACATGAACCTTTTGTATGAATTTTTTGTAAAAAAAAAAATTAAATCACTTATACCACTCAGAAACGTGTTTGCTCGAAATATAAAAAGTAAAAATTAGATTTTTTTTTTAAACAAATTAAAAATGTTGCTCTTTTAAGTAAATGTAATGTCAACCACAAAATATTTTTGACTTGGTGTGATCAATATACAACGTGTACTGTAAAAAAAAACGTGCGCTTTTTTTTTTATGTCCCATTCGGGACGAGATGTTTTTGAACGCAGAGTTCATTTTTTGTTGTCCAACTTTTTTTTTTTTCCTCCGGTGTTGCGTCGAAACGCCGGGTAAGCGCTTCAACCACCACAGCCACAAGTAAACACGGTAACTTATGTCTACGCTTCGTGAAGGGAGCGTTGTCTTTGTAATATAATCTATAATGCTGAGGACAAACTCGAAATTATAACCGTGCACTATGGAAAAGCGTTTCTCTATGAAAAAAGTTATTTAACTTAGTGGTGTGTCGCGTTTAGCTAGCATGGCATGCTATCTCTGCAATAGCACCATGTGAAGCTTTACTATATAATGAATTTTTTTACGAAACTACTCTAATTTTTTTTATGAAAATGCTTTTGAAACACAGCCTATGATGATCTGTTCGTTTAAAAGTGCTCGTGTAAATGAATAATTAAACGCCGCAGTTTAGCTGCATTACAGACAGTTGCCGCTGGGTGCCGCTGTTCAGCTTCAGGTTGTGTCAAACTCCCATCATGAAGAAAAATCAAGTTCACGATATAGAATGGACCAAAGAAGATTTTTTCTTCATTGAGGACGATGGGGTTTCAGACTGGGAGGAAGAGTTTAATTATGACTCTCGGAAACGACACAAAAACAGCAGTAAACAAAGTGCACAGGTCAGGGAGAGCTCCCCTCCTCTCCTCCTGACCTTCCCCATCTCTTCTGGAAAGACACAGCAGAACATCAGTAGTGTCTCCAGTGATGATTTACAGGAAGAGGAGGAGGACAGTAACCAGTCCATAGAGGACTGGATGATCCTGGGAGGAGAGGAACAGGAGGACTCTAACATCCTGCTTAATCAACATTACTGGAGCAGCTCTGAAGACGAGTTTGGAGCTAAAGGTTAGATCATGCAACAAAATCAACATCTGTGTGATGATCTTTGCGTTATTTCTCTTATGTAAAAGGAAAAGAAGAGTTTATTAAAGAAAAATTCAAAAATATGCTATCAAATCTCAGCGAGGTATAAGATTTATGTATAAGAAAACTTTACAAAATAAAATTGCAAAACATTCTTGAAGGACCCGCCTTCATTTTATGTCTGACGTTTGGACTTAGATAATTTTATGATGAAGTTTTGGTCAAACCTTGAAAATAACGTTGCATGCAATTTTGGTTATTTTGGTGTTGGGGTTAGAAAAAAAACCATACTCGTTTGCCTTTCTTAGGAAACAAAAATATTAGCCTACATTTATAATCAAGTACTTTAGTTACATCTTGTAATTGACTGTATTTTCTTTCACAGACATGTCAGATGAGAAATCGGTACCAGACATCTGGGCCATATCAGATAAAGATAAGGTAACTTTTGATAACCAGTATTAAATAAAAAAAAAAAAAAAACGTTTCCACTTCACCTTAGCAAAAGATTGAAAGGAAATGTGTGTAAAATATTGTCTTGTTTAAAACTGTACCGTGATTGTTTTTAAAAATGTTTTTTTCTCATTATGTTTAGTATGGTACTGCTGAGTCTTTGGCCTTTCGCTATTTCATCCCTGGTCGCTCGTCGATCTGTTACATTTGCAAGAAGGCGGGACATTTTGCTAAACATTGCACCTCTCGAAAGGTACAAAAAACTCATCCCTGTAAGCTGCTGCAGACAAAATTATAACAACCAACATTATTATCATATTATAATCATTATTACAACTTTGTCTTTCAACAGAAAAGTCCTGCTTGTGTCCTTTGTGGCATCCGGGGACACATCCAGAGGGACTGTCCAGGTCGTCCGTGCCCTCACTGTGGATTACCTTCGCATGGCCTCGACCCGTGCAGAGTGCCTCCGGTATGGAACCAGCACTGCCAGCGCTGTGGGACAATGGGCCACCTGACAGATGTGAGTCAGCCGTCGGTTTCCAGAACAAGCTGATTTGACTGTCTGAGTTCGTGCTGAAGAAGTGTGTCAGTTTTTTTTGACAGGTTCTGCAGTCTCAGAAGTCTTAGTGAGCCCAGTTTATGAAGCGCTGTTCTGCAAAGAACTTCTTATCTTCAGTGAAACTGCACCAAGTTTGTTTCTGTGCGATTCTCAAAGGAAAAATTATTCTTCCTCTTGTTTTCTGCAGGCCTGTCCAGATACATGGAGACAATATCACTTGACAGTAAGTTGTTTTTTTTGTACTCTTTGTCTTAGCTTCTTTCAAGACCGTAATCGGGTCACAGATCGAACAATGACATGATAAAATCTCAGGCTCTGTTCGACCCTGGCACCAGTATGGACGGATTAGTCTCACACGAACAGCTTTAAGTACGTTGTGCTCACACCTGGTGTTAAAATGCATGTGGAGGAAACCAACCTCAGGTACCTGTTGAACATTCAAATAAACAAGAAAAAGCCATGCCACGTTGTTGTTGAGCAACAAACAGGACATGAGCAGGTTTACTGATGCTTCTCTAAAAGTACAAATACATCTGCTCTATATTAATAATTGGACAAAGTTCAGATTCACCCGAGTTGGACTTTTGTGGAGTAATTTAGCATACACGACTTTTAATGATATTGCAGGAATAATATGAAATATGTAAATGAGCATAAAACGATTTGTGTCAGAGCAAAGACTGAAGAATTTAACCTATAAAACTCCACCGCAGTAAAGTGGACCCATTAGCTGTTTTACATTTCTTCACAGCTGCACTGTGACTGTAACCACAGCGCATCGTCACCGCTGCAGCAGGTGAACATTTACGACATAATGCTGCTCAGATTTTTCTGTGATTGGTGGTACATTTTATTATACAATAACCACATTGAGTGCAATCAGTTCGAAAAACAGAACAAACTTTTAACTAAAGAGAAATTACTCATATGGTGACTAAACATTGACAAAATGGCGTTTTTATTTTGATTTGTGGAAAACTTTATGCCTGAAAATACATTTTTAAAAGTATCTTCAGAATATTCACAATAATTGGTGTTTAATCCTCTTTAATTAGCCTGCAACGGAGCTTTTAAAAAAAATTTTTAATCTGTTATTGTTGTAGGATCTCGTTGGGGGCGGTTCTATGGGGTGGCACAGAGTGACTGTTTTCACTAAAACACAAGCTTGCCACCTGACTTTCCACCTTATTTAAGCTAGTTAATATATTTGTGTATATTTTTATGAAATTTCCAAAGTCATAAGCATCTGCACAGAGCTTCCGTCTTTATCGACACGTACCTGTTTGAACTTCTCACACACATCTCTTGAGTTTTAGAATGGTTTCACCCACCAACTGGACCAGGAAGTTTCATCAGTGGCAGAGATGGTTTCAAGGTGGTCTTTGAGTAGCATTAGTTAGTGCAACTTATATGCATGGACAAATAACGTGAATTCATTCAACAACCAAAAACAACACCTTCTGAAACATCATGCCCCACCTTTGCCAACCCAAGAAAACAATCTGTCACTGGGTCTGGTTCTGCTGTGGGTCTCAGAAGGATTCACATTCAGACCACTTAAGTAAAAGTAACCAGAACTAGGCCTGTCATGATAGCAAATTTTGCTGGGTGATTAATTGTCTCAGAAATTATTGCGATAAACGATAATATTGTTTGAAATTTGACAATAATTAGTAATTGTCAAAATTAAGAAGAAGTGATTAACTTTTGTGTGTAGTACCTGTTTTGACCACTGGGCGACAGTATAAGACTGAATCGAAGGCTAGATAGTGAGGGAGTGAGAAGCGTGCCTCTTTAAGAAAAATGGGAGGAAGGCCCCTTGATGTGACATGGGCTGTCTCTCTTTCCTTTTTTGTTTCTGTTCTCAAAATGGCGGACGCTTGGTGTGGTTTGAGCTCTTTAGCATAGCATTTGTCAAACAAAGCTTGTTATAAAAAAATCAGTAAACAAGTTCTCAGCTTCTTTTTTCAGAGAAAAACAAGTTTTTAGATGAAGGCACGGGTTTCAACCGTGAATTTTGGAGCTTTGACAAGACGGGAGATCCCCCCCACACCCCACCCCGAGGTTGGCCTGTTGACTTAGCTCGTAGCTTAGCTTCTCATCTTAGCTGCTTTTAACGATCCAAAAATGTGATTTTGGACGATTAAAACAGATTTTAAAGAGAAATGGAGGGGTCAGTGAAGAGCACCCGAGTTGAGATTTTTGTCATCCAGTGTCTTCAGTAGAACGAGAGAAGAAGAAACAATAAAGCCGATAAATGAAAATGAGGTTGATAATTTTCATTTATCATGCGATTAATTGATTTATTGTTTATCGCGACAGGCCTAAGCAGAACTCCTCTGGAGGTCGGTCTCACTGAAAACAGTGTTGATGTATACCGAGAGCGTTCACGCCTGTATTTAGTGCCATCCAGATGTGATCAGATTGCTTAGGACAGATGTTAGTTCCAGGTCTGAGTAGACACAAGGACAAGCCTGGTGGCTCGGACAGTTAATCATTTGTGATTTTCAATCTGGATTTATGGACGTATGATAAAATTTACATAGAGAAAATCCACAAAGGTTAATTTGCTACTTTTTAAACGAGCTCTGACGTTTGTTTTCAGGTGAGTTCAGAGGTTCCATTCAAGCCAAGAACTGTCTGCAGTTTCAAACAGAAGCGTACTCGTGCTCATTGTTACAACTGCTCTAAAAGAGGACATTATGGCTATGTAAGTAATGAATAATAACCACTTCCCTCCTTATTTCACCCTCTTTTCACTTTCTCTATATATTTTTTGAGTGTAATTCTCTGCCTTCTCTGGGTCTGAATCTTTGTGTCAGGAATGCACAATGAGGAGGATGATCAGTGGCACCTTTCATTCTCTGCCTTACGTCTGCCACTATGACACGGTGGAGGACCTTCTGCAGCGTGGTACCAGAACGCACACAGGAACTAAAGGTGACAAAAGTTGGTTTTAATGTAGAATATGCAGTGTGACGATCCAAAACTAATTATTTTTAACTCGTCATAATGGCATGATTTGTGATTTAATTATGGTTAACTAAGAATCTTTCAATAATAATTAGGAAAGTTCAATATTAATGTGTTGTTTTTTTTTAAGATCTTGTGAGTGCTGGATCCTGTCCTGCAAAAGCGGAGGATTATGGTGAGAAAAACGGGAGGAGTAGAAAAAAGCAGGAGGCAAGCGGAAGGAGGAAGACGTGGCCTGAAAGGCGCAGAGAAAGACGCGAGGTGAAGCGACTAAGAAGGGAGGCCAAGGTCAGACGGGAAGGAGGAGGACTTTTAAGGAGGTCTCGCTGCAAATCTGATGAAGTTTGTCCCACGGAGCCTTTCAGAAACAGACAGTTTATTTCTCCTCCAGAGAAAAAGAAGGAGGAGAAAGATGAGGAGGAAAGCAGCAAAGTGTAGAGCTGGAAGAAAAGAGGTGGGATTAAACATGGGGATTTGTGTCCTCATCCTGACTTGGACCCTGGAAGTGAAAACCTGTATTCAAAGCAAAGAGTCCACCATAATCCGCAATAACGTTTTCATCTGTGTCCCGCATGTGTCTGTTAGCAAAATATTTCTTTAACCACTGCAGGAATTTTAATAAAACTTGCAGAAAGTGATTGTTGGATGTACCTCTACATCTAATTGAGTTTTGGAGTCGACTGGATTCAAGATGGCTGCCACAGCCAACTGACCTTGAGTAATGATCGGGTGTTTTCAGTCATGGGACTCGAACAATCTGCCCATCGCCATTTGACAGGCCACTTCAGTCTCTTTTAAATCTCTCCTCAAAACACACCTGTACTCAGTGGCATTTAACACAGTGTGATCTGATTTGGTATTTCATTGTGGCTGATTGTGTTCATGCCTTTTGCTTTTATTCCTTGACATCTAACTCGGGCTGATTTGATTTAGTGTTCTCATTGTTTCTAATTATGTCTGGTGTTTTTATGCTTTTATTCCTGATGCTGTAATTATATCTTGCTATTTTTATTTGATGCTGTGATCTTTTTTGTTAAGCACTTTGATAACGGTTACTGTTTTAAATGTGCTATATAAATAAATTTGACTTGACTGACTTGACTAATACCAAAATGGCTACAGCTGAGTCAGGTTTACAGACATTGAGATTAAATTTGATGTGGTAATAGCTGAGTGGTTCACAACACATTCTGAGGGTGAGATTGTGCATAACTTTATTTCTGAGGTTTGTCTAAAACTCATTAAAATGTAATGTGACATATGCATTCCTTTAAGGGATGCTTGGGAATTTTTAAACGCTGCAGTCCTTTTGGAAGGATATTTATAGTTTTTCAAAATGCTATTTTTTGTCTGTACAAAAATGTAGATAGAATATAAACAGGTGAAAAATTGTCCTCGGTGTGTTTCAAAAATGCTTTTGCATTTAAACAGTTTTTGTAATAACATGCTCTTGTAGTGTTTTTGCATTATTTTTAAAAACTTGAAGTGCATGATGTGTTATTACACAATATATCCTCCAATATTTAATGACAGTTACAGTAATATTTGCATTATGCAATCAATTCGACACTTATGCCTTACACCTTTTGTAAGGTATGACATTAACTTCCTAATTTTGTCTTTTATAAACGTAATTTATAATTTGTACAGTGTACATACATTATTGACAGTGGCATTACTGGTATATTAAACCATTCTTCCTAGTTTTATTATACATTGGCCATTTTATTTATCCTGTTATGCATTCTATATGCTAAGTCTGTATTTCATCGACACTCTTCAGAGCAAAATGTTTTTATGTATATAAATAACATCTCTTGTAATATGACGGCCATACATCAGCGTGTCGGAGTATGTTGTGAAAAGCCATCTGCAGCCAGTGGGATTTTCAAAGCTTTGAAGCTGCTGAATTATTAATGAGCGGAGCAGCTTCCTGCGGTTTACCAGACCCAAGTAATCGATTCCGACGTGAAAGCGCGATTTAAAATCGAATTTAACCGCGATGAAAAACAAATTTCGTTTTTAAAGATCATAATAAAATTATTTTAATCGTGTGTTTTGCATTTTGCTTCAAGTCATGGCGCGAAAAGCCCCGCCACGAACCGAATTGTTTTCCGTTATCGATTGGTTGCGCCTGGGCGGAGACGCGAGACACCCATTGATTGATCTTCGCTCCACTCCCCGCTGACCAGAGAAAACACCCGATAGCGAATGCGAGAGGGGATTTAAATGAGACAAATACAGTCCGCTTTACTTGACGGACGAGGTGGCTGTCTGCTGGTCCTCAAGCGGGTTGAGCTGGTCCGCCAGTAGGTCTGTCAAAGAGCCAATTTAACACCGATTCAGCGCGACGCCAGTGAGGTTGTAATGTCTGCTTGTTTTCACTTGTTTCCCCTGTAGACCTCGCTTCCTGTTAGCCTCGGGCTCGCCGGAGAAAAGAAAAATCGACATTGTGTTCATGAGCGAGCGGGTGTAACTAGCCCACGCAGAAGTAGCTAGTTTTTCCAGCCTAATTATTATTTTCAAACAGTTTTATGTTAAGACTTGTTTTATAACCAGTATCCGGGTACCTGGGTCCCTGTAGTTTGCTAACGCTACAGCTAGCCATCTTCTTGCTTGTGTTGACGGATTGAAGTGTTTAATTTTGTTTATTTAAAGGCGACGAGCTAACGACATTAACGTAGGTCTCCACAAGTCGACCAGGACTCGTATTCGTGCCTTTAAACCACTTTATTTAGCTGCCGGGGAGCCTGACGGCTTTCACTGTGATTATTAGACAAAAGGGAATTGGACGCTTCTCACTAAGAAGAAACGACAAGAAGATTTTGTTTCAGTGTATCTTTATGCAACTGCTGTGTTTTTAAACGCCTGTGAAAAGTACTACTAACAAATAGTATTTTTGTTGAGTGGGAGCGGATCTGATATGGTTGTGCTTCCCTAAAAAAAAAAAAAAGAGAAACCCGCGGCTGCTTCCACGTTTTAATTAATTAAACATTCGTTTAAATGCTCCTGAAAGTAACCGAGCAGCATCAGAAATAACCAGAGAGCTTCAGGCGGCCACCTCACTTCACCCACCACCGACTCTCCGGCCATGGACCCACCAAGAACCCGGTCGCGGTCTCGGTCTGGCTTCTACCACTTTGCCCTGAACGGAGGAGGCGCAGGAGGAGGCAGCGCTGTCGGGAACGGGAGCCTGATGAGCTCCAGCGGAGGAGGAGGAGGAGGTCTGAATTACCCTCCGCAGAGCAACACCGGCTGGGCGCCACACCACGGAGGACGGAGCTACTCTGAGATCCAGCAGCCTCCGCAGCAGCACGGCCAGGGGAGCTACCTGCCCGCGGGGGTGCAGCGCCACTCGGCACACGCGGCTCACAGGCACCCCGGGGCTGGTAAGCTGGCTTTAAAGTAAACGGGCCTGCAGCCCTGCTACATGCATCATTACAAACACACGCACGGATAGAGGATGCACCCCCTGAGGGATGCAGGCGCACCACAGCTTATCAGGCTTTGAGGCTTTTATCTAAGGCTTGGTGTTTTCTCTGCCAGCTGTTGGTTGAGATGAACTGGAAGCTCTGCTCATGAAGTAAAACAGATTTATTAATCCCCTTTTATCAAACCCACTGACTGTTTTGATGGGGTCTTAAAACTGTGCAAGTCAAAAGTCATAAATGATTAGGTGACAGAACTGTGTGAGGGGTGGGGTACACCCTGGACAGGTCAAGTCCATCACAGACAGAAAAAGCTTTTTTTTAAATTATTATTTAAAAACTAACTAAAGGCTTAATTTTTCTTGAAGGAATGGATATTATCTTTCATGCCAGAGGTTTAACCTAAGATCAAGTCAATTTTATTGTCATTTCCATCACGTGCAGTGTGGTACATGAGGTGGAACAAAATTATGTACTCGGGGTTAGGCCTGTCACGATGACAAATTTTGCTGGGCGATTAATTGTCTCAGAAAATATTGGGATAAACGATAATATTGTTTGAAATTTGACAATAAATAGTAATTGTCAAATTTAAGAAGAAATGTTTAACTTATGTGTAGTACATATTTTTTTTTTACCACCAGATGGCAGTTTAAGACTGTTTGAACTGAAGGATGGATAGTGAGGGAGCGAGCAGTGTATCTGTTTAAGGAAAACGGGAGGGAGGCCCCTTGATGTGACAGTCTCTCTCGTTCCTGTTTTTTTGGTTCTCCAAATGGTGGACACTCAGTGTAGTTTGAGCTTTTTAGCATAGCATTTTCTACACAAAGCTTTTAATTAAAACAAACAAACACACCCCCCCCCCCCCCCCCCGCAATAAACAAGTTCTCAGCTTCTTTTTGCAGGAAAAAAAACTTTTTAGATGAAGGCACGAGTTTCAACCTTGAATTTTGGAGCTTCGACAAGACGGAGGTTTTTTGTTGTTTTTTTGCTCCTAACTTAGCTTCTCAGCTTAGCTGCTTTTAACGATCCAAAAACGCAGTTTTAGACGGTGAAAACAGATTTTAAAGAGGGAAAAGAAAAGGAAGGGTCAGTGAAGAGCATCAGAGTTGAGCCTTTTGTCATCCAGTGTCTTCAGTAGAAAGAGAGACACGAAGAAACAATAAAGCCGATAAATGAAAATGAGGTAGATAATTTTCATTTATCATGCAATTAATTGATTTGCTTATTGCGACAGGCCAACTCGGAGTCCCAGTTGCACCCAAAAATGGCAAAAATATAAAGTATAGAAGAAACTATATAAGGATCTAACGCTAAACGAGATAATTTTTTGTTGATGAAATATGAATTATGGAGTCGTAGCAGTTTTAGCCAAACCTAGAACATAACCCACAACCTCATGTAATATTGCAAAATGTCACACTCAAAGTATGTGCTGAGAATGACTCTCAGCTACTACCACATCAAGTTTTAGCTCGGTGTATGTGAAACTAACTGACTTTTAGTCATTCTTGTGTTGGCTAATGTTGATTAGTTGTAGCAGCCTCCTTAAATTGATCCGACTCCCATCAGCTGTAGGCATATATGAAGGATTACTTTCTGGAGGTTAAATTATTAAATTAAAATCCATCGAGTGGTTCATGAGATATTTTGCTAATGGTTGACTTCCAACAGTTGATGCTAAGTTTTAAGCAAAAATCTTACACAATGAGTAGCACTTGGAGCACGTGTAAATGACCCTCAGCTGCGATCACATCACATCTTATTGGAAAATCCTTAAAATTGACTGAGTTATAGACGTTTATAGTTTTCTAAGGACAGTTGGCTGTGGCAGCCATCATTAATTTGATTGATCTCACTTACTTTTCGAGTTATTTTTAAATCTGTTAAAGATTCACGAGCAACTTTGGTAACAGAAATGGACAAAAACATTATCAGCCTTCGCCTTTCAGTTTGCAATAATATCCACAATCTTCTAAAAGACGCTTTGTGGACATTTTGTGGATTCAAAGTGTTTTTTTTAATGTTGTCACAATAGATATGTGAAAATCTTGATTAAAAGTGATATTTAAATTCTTTAAATAAGCTTTGTAAGCTAAGATAAAGCCCCTTCCTTGGTAGCATTTTTCATCTTTTGTTTCCTCAGACAGTTCGCTGACTTGATGCCGACTGCTGTGGTTAAATTCTCTCCCAGTTCACCGTTAGTCCTTTCACTCATGAACTTTGATTTGTCTTGAAATTCAAACTACTCAAAGTTCTGAATGGCCTTTAAAAAAAAAAAATCAAACGTGTCGTTCTTTTAGTGTAAAGTTTGATGTAACAAACCTGTAAAGATGTAGACGGCTGATTTGTGCTACCTTGTTGGTATCGTCGCTGTCGGGTCCAATTTATTTGTATTGCCTCGTATTACTAAAATATTGATTAGTTGACATCTTATTCCAGTGGTTCATCAAACGGCTCAAATAGAGAGAATTCTAACAAGTTGATCTGATTTGAATATAAACCTGCACCTTTTGTTTAGAGTATTAAGCAAGCTTTAGACCACTGACTGTTTGAAAGTTTTGGCAGGTTGGAGACCATCAACTTAAAAAGTTCACTGAGGATGAGCGAAAGAAGGTTGTTAAAGAAAGCTGAATTAAATCACACCAAGAGGACGCTCACAGAAACGCATGCCTAGTTTGAGTAAATCACTTAAAGAATGTTTTGCTTGTTTACTTGAGCATGCATCAGAGTATTCCTTGTTTGTTTTAGCTTTCCCTCCTTCTTTTGGTGCGTTAGTGCTAAGCGTCGATATGTTCAGCCCCCAGTTTCCCCACAGTCATTGAACCGTCACCTAAGAAGACTTCAAGCAAAGGGTGGGGCGGTCGGCTATTCACAGAGAGACAGAAGTGGTGTTTGACGATGAAGACAGAAGAATCAAAGACACGAGGGGATGGTTTTTGTGATCAAAGTGGAGGCTGCTCAGAGAAACCTGTTTAACATCTTTCAAAAACTGCTCTCTGTGCACATGTTGCATCCAGACTGCACATGTGCACTGTCAGATACAGATGTTTCTCTGAGATCAGATTTATGACATTAATGCTTTGTTGTGATATCATTTTACTCCTCTTCTTTTGATTTTAGTGTTTTGAATGCATCGTGTGAGTGATGGTCTGTTGATCTTAGAAGATATCTGTATATATTGTGTGTTTCCCCACAAGGAAATGGCAGTGAGCTGTCGTAGTAGAGCTAGCGGTGTTTTGTTTTTGTTGGGGGCGCTTCAGCAGCATAAATTACATTAAACATTAAATTACATGATTTTAGTAACAGCTGTTTTTACACTAGTGTTGCTCCAGGTAATTTGATGGTGTTTAAAAAGTATTATATCAATGATACTTTTATCTTTTGATGTGGCTTATGTTTGATTGATTAAAGGTCAGAATTAGAATTAAAGGCCTAGCATTTGTTAACGGCATGCTTATCGCCCGCTGCCTGTCACGCCAGAGTTTTAGACTAACGTCTTGTGTTGATAAATGTTATCACTGTTTTGGTAAAACTCTTCAAAATAAGACACAAAGTTTGTTTTCTCAGTCATCCAGGTATATAACAACAAAAAAGGTTGAATCATGTCATCTGGACTTCGTTTTTTTGTTAAAAATAAACGTTTCGCCCCTCATCCAAGAGGCTTCGTCAGTCTGAGGTCTAGCCATCTGGTATTACCCAGAAGCCACCCTGACTCTTGTGTTTCAAGCCTGCCTCAGATACCCCTGAAGTCTGGCCTTTTCACTAATGGTTTCAAAAACACAAAGTTTCACACAAAGTCTTCAAAATAAGGTCACGTACAATCTAATGCGATATGGTGAGATGTCAAGCTCAAGTGTTAGTTTTGGGTGACTATTGGCTACTACCACATCAAAGTTTAGGCCAGTATCTGTACAATTGGCTGAGTTATAATAACATTTTGAAGGTCCGTTGACTGTGGCAGCCATCTTGAATTGGTTTGACTCCACATGTTAAAGTTTCGTTAAAGTCTGTTCAGTGGTTCATGTGATATTTTGCTAACAGACAGATGCAGACCTAAACGTCAACATCCACCTTCCTCTTTTCGTCTTTTCAAAACAGAAACTTTTTTTTTTTCCTTATAGAAATTCTAGGAAACTTCTTTGCTCTGTTTTTATTTTTTTTCCAGATGTGAACTTTACGATGGGTTTTAGCACTTGTGAGGAGTTGTAACTGGATAAACGGCGGCCGTAAACAAAGAAACAAAAGACGACAAGATGCTCTGGTTTGTTGGACGTGCTTCATGGTTGACATCTGTGCATCTTAACAGCCTTTTTGTGTTCGGTTAGGGTGAGATTTGTCTGCGAGAGCCAGAGAGGACGAGCTTGGCGTGACACCTCCCAGAGATCGCTTCCTTTCTGCTTTTTGTTTTTATTCAAAAGAGAAACTTCTGCTGATGACCCAGGACTGGAACTATCTGTGTTGTCAAAAGCACATTTTAGTTATTTTACACCCAGTGAAACTTCTAAAGATTAAAGTGTGTGGAGTTTAGCCCACAGGGTATATATTTTTTTAATAATTATTTGAAGTGTGAGATAAAATCAAAGCCAGCCAGCCACTTGTGTTTTAGGGTTTGGTTTTTGTTAGCTAAGCAAATGCATATCCACATGTTTTCCCCAGCTCTGCTTTTATCTGATTAAGCTTTTTTATTCTCTGGTCTGCAGGAGGTGCGTTTCATTTTCACCCAGATAATGTGTGCAGCGAGGATCGAGACAAAGTAAGGATGAAAGATGACCACTTCCTGTTCTGGCTGCCTGGTTTGAATAGAATTTGTGTTTCATTGTTGACTTCGTCTTGCCTTTTTTCTTTTTCCCTCTTTCTCTCTCTCTCTTGTCTTTTTATGCAGCTGGAGGACAGCCCCAGCCCGAAGCGGCAGCGCCTTTCCCAACAGTCCATGTTGGATCTAAGCTCCGCCCCTCTGTCCACTCCATCCTCTCCCATCCGACCATGGGAGCTGCCCCCTAACCGCAGACCACACCCCCACTACATGCCCGAGAGATGCCACACACCTGTTAGAAACCGCCGCAGGTATGCTGGTGGCACAAATACTCATCACAACAGTTGTTTTAATGAATAATTGGATAATTCTTCAACATAATTGCACACCATTATGATAAATTTGTGTTTTGAGGTTAAATGCTTAAACTGTCCGAAAAAATATGTTTAGTGAAGGAGATATAAATTTTCTCATACTAATCAGAATTATTCTATTTTGTGCCTGAACTTCTAGTTAAACTTTGAGTCCAGAACAGATTGAAAACTGTTATTTTTGCACTTAACTAAATGCCAGATTTGATTTTTTTTTTTTTTTTCTCCTAAGAAAGATTAAAATTGATTTTTTTAGTTTTGGACAATATAGCAGGAGAGGGCAATGTCACCCCAATACAAAAAATTCAAAACTGAATTGGTTTGACTAACAACCATCCATCCCAAACATGGTTTAAGCATGCAATGAGCATGCATCAGGATGGCTTAAGACAATTTTTCTCTTAAAAGTTCTGTGCCTGAGTTACATTTAAATAACTACAATTTTATTCTTCACTTCCAAGCATCCATCCATCCATCCATCCATTATCTTTACCCGTTTATTCCATTTTGGGTCACGGGGGTCGCTGGTGCCCATGTCCAGCAATCACTGTGCGAGGGGCGGGGTACACCCTGGACAGGTCGCAAGTCCATCACAGGGCCACATAGAGACAAACGAGACAAACAACCATTCACTCTCTCACTCACACCTAGGGACAATTTAGAGTTACCAGTCAGTCTAACATGCATGTTTTTGGTCTGTGGGAGGAAACCGGAGTACCCGGAGAAAACCCACGCATGCACGGAGAGAACATGCAAACTCCACCCAGAAAGGCCCCTGGACTGGGGTTTGAACCAGGGACCTGTTCGCTGAGAGGCAGCAGCTCTACCAGTTGCACCACCGTGCTGCCCACTTCCAAGCAGTTTAACTTTAATTGTTTAATATTTTAAGCTTGGTCTTGATGAATAGTTCTCTTCTTTCAAATATTTTCTTTGGACTTTGGCTGCTTTGTCACTCATTTTATGTCCACTTTTGATTTATTTTTTTATATTTTTAAGCCATTTAACTCTGACTTGGGAATTATTCATCTATGTTACAAAAAACTTACAAACTGAAGGAATGAACTGATTTAACACATGAAGACCAACTTAAAAAGCAAATTTCACATCTTGGCTGGATTTATTTATTTTTCTTCTGTTTCTTAAAGAAACAAATTTCAGACATTATTTGTTGCATTTGTCATTATTTGTTGAGGAGGTGTGGCAAAGAGGTTAGAGATGGTGAACCTGTGATTGAGAGGTTTCCGGTTCAAGTCCCAGCACTGACAACATCATTTGGTTGGGAAAGGTGAACCACGGACATCTGCCTCACCGTGGCCCTTGAGCTAGACCCTGAAACCCCCTAGATGTCCCTCTGCTCCACACAGCAGACTGCGGTAGCTCAGTGGTCTGTGGTTGCGTCAGGAAGGGCGTCCGGCATAAAAACAATGGTCAAATCTTTGTGTGAGATTGTTCACTGTGGCAACCCCTGAGGAAGGGAGCAGCTGAAAGAAGAAAATAAATTTTATGTATATATAATTTAACAGTCTTGGTTCACTTTAAGTTTTATCAGTTTATCCAGAACTTCAAAAGAAAACATCTTTCTGTAGTTTGTTGCTTAATTTCTGACATAAATATCAACACAACTCTTTTAACCTCTGTAGTTTCTCCTCCGTTCTTTCCCTTCAGCCCTCCAGTGAGACGTCAGCGTGGCCGAAGAGACCGCCTTGCTCGCCACCACCATCACCACCACTACAATAGCAGCAACAATCACCACTGCCACCAACCCCCCGCAGGTCACCACCATCACCCCCAACTCCCTCACTCCCACCACGGCCTATCCCCTGGCCATCAGGATGAAAACTACCGCCACCCTCCTCAATACCCCCCCTACAGCCAGCCACCTCAACGAGGGCTGGGGTCCGGCCCTGAAGAGCGCCTGGCTTACCGTCCCCCAAACCCCTCCCCGAGGCCTCTTCACCAGTCGCCGAACCTGTCTCCCAGGCTTCTGCACGTTGGGCCTCATCCACAGCACCCGCACCCCAACCCATCCCAGCAACAGAGCAGCGGCCTCCTGGACATCCAGGAGCAGGTGGGTTTATTATTTTTGTTGGAGGGGAGTGTACATTCTTGATAGATACTCATCTATATTTAGGTTTTGATCATCCTAAATGACTGAGTAGAGAAAAAATGAGTTGCTTTGTTAGCTCTGAAGTGTGGTTAGAACTTCAGAACTAAAAATAATTTCTTATGAGAAATGCCAGAGACGTCCGGTTTAGTCAAACACTGAAAAAGAGAGTCTGTAATGAGCAAGTTTTCAATTGGAAAACATAAATTCACACATTAGTGCAAGTTATCCCACATAGTACATGAAGGACAGTCTTGTCTCCTTAAAGTTGTAAACTCTGCCTGTCTGGACTCCATATTCAGGGTTTAGCTCCAGTATCGTATCCTGTGTCTCCACTGGGCGCCCTGCCCGGCCTGCCCCCTCGCTCGGCCCCGCAGCAGATCCCAGCATGCTCGGTTGTTTTCAACGGGCAGCATTATCCCGTCTGCAGTGTTCCTCCTCCTGTGAGTGTCCTCCAAGAGATTCTTACTTCTGGTTTCCCTTTTAAAAAAATTCTCAAGTACATTTATTTTAAATATTATTGAAAATGTCCAAACATGCCTGAATAAATCAAATCTCACCAGGTCTTTGTGTCTCTCTGCCAGGTTATTCAGACTTGTTCTGTCCAGCATTTGCCCATGCCCTACCCATTTACATCACTACTTTCCAGTGATCCGTCCTTCTTGATTCCTCCTCCCCACCTTGCTCATCCTTCCACACACCTTCCCCACCATCCACCCCACCTGCCTCAGACAGCACAATTTGGACCTTATCCAGCTCAGCAGGCGCGATCGGTGAGTAGGACATCATTACATTCTTAAACTTGGAGCTGATGTCAGATGAGGCTGTTTCAGGTCTAAAAATGTAGTAAAACAATTTGAATGACCATCTAACATAAACCATCATTGCACTCTTATTTTATTTGTATCATTTACTTTTGCTGACTTTGTGATTTCTTCTGAAATCAGCTAATTATACATGACATTCGTACAGTGATGAAAATAATGTGCTAATAGGGATAGAATAACTTTTTTGTCACGTCTGTGGGTTCATAATTGGTGTCAGTTTGTTAGGTTTACATTTGGTTTTGAATGTGTTAAAAAATGAGCTGAACATGTCATTGTAAATGGGCTGATGTTTTCCACCCATTTTATTTTTTTCATAAAGGCTGTAAGAGGAGCCATGCTTTACACATGACACTTGAAATGATGGGTTGCTTTAAGTCCTTCATATGACGAGTTAAATTTAGTTCAGTAATAATATCTGAACGTTAGATTTATTTTCCAAAAGCTTTTTAGATGCATGCATTTGGTGCAAATGTGCTGAATGGGACCACACCCTTATGAGAGCTGCACACACATCTGTGAACATGTTGTCAGTTGGTAGTCATTAAAATCTTCCCACTTCTAACACGAGTTTAATACATCTGCTCCTAACGTAAACCTAGAAACTGTTGCTGTCCATGTTTGCTTTTTCATCTGTTTGATATTTATGAATATTTACGGATTTTTTTATTTTTATAAACAACCTTTCATGAGCTGAAGACAAAGTAATCTCTGATAACTGTGAATGTTTATGAAGCGTTCGCACTTGGATCACAAAAATGGATCACAATATCCTTTTTCTTCCGTACGTTTTCGGCTCGATTCTCGTCCCGCAGTTTTCAAGCCATTTCAACAAATCGCATCAAAATGTTCAGCTCTTTCAGGACAATCCTGCTATGACATTGTATTAGTGCAACTTTAGCTTTTTTTAATATTTAGCCTTTTCTGCCATTTTTTTTTTTCATGTAGAAAATTAATTGAGCTCATTTTCCATCCTTCAGAATCTTTAGATGTGGTTACAACCTTTTACTGCTCCTTTCACATTTTGTTCTAGTTCAGCTTCTTTCAGCTTCCTTGTGCAAATTAAACATTTTTCAGCTAATTTCAGCTGTTTTGTACTCCTTTCAGATTTGTTCTGCTAATTAAAACATTTTTGTTCTTCTTCTAACTTATATTTGCTAACTTCAGCTTATGTTAATTTCAGATTATTGCTGCATGTTTCAGCTTTTTCTGTTTATGCTAATTTCAGCTTTTTTCAGATAACTTCCACTTTTTTGTACTCCTTTCTTCTTCTTTCAGCCTAATTGGGCAAACATGTTCTTTCTGCTTTCTTCTGCTAATTTAAGCTTGTTCTACCTTTTTTTTCCAGCTACCATTTTAGCATTTTTGAGCTAATTTCAGCAGTTTAAAGATAAATTCACGTTTTCCATGGTAATTTTTGCTGCTTTCAACCTAATTAACGTCTTTATGGTAATTTCAGCTTGTTTTGCACCTTTCAGCTTTTAATTCTGCTAGTTTTGGCTTTGCTGCTATTTCAGCTACTATTTAGCTGTTTTATGCTAATTTTAGCCTTTTCAGCTATTGCCATTTTTTTTTAGGTAATTTCAGCTCTTTCATCTTCTTTCTGGTAGCTTAAGCTTCTTTCTACCTTTTCAGCTACTTTTCAACTATTTTTTGCTAATTTCAGCCTTTTTTAAACTAATTTCCTAATGTTTGCTCATTTCTGCCAATTTATACCTATCCATCCATCCATCCATCCATCCATCCATCCATCCATCCATCCATTCTCTTTACCCGCCTCTTCCATTTTGGGTCACGGGGGTCGCCGGTGCCCATGTCCAGCAATCACTGTGTGAGGGGCGGGGTACACCCTAGACGGGTCTCCAGTCCATCACAGGGACACATGGAGACAAACGAGACAAACAACCATTCACTCTCTCACTCACACCTAGGGACAATTTAGAGTTACCAATCAGTCTAACATGCATGATTTTGGTCTGTGGGAGGAAACCGGAGTACCCGGAGAAAACCCACGCATGCACGGAGAGAACATGCAAACTCCACCCAGAAAGGCCCCCGGACCGGGGTTTGAACCAAGGACCTGCTCGCTGAGAGGCAGCAGCTCTCAATTTATACCCAATTCAGCAAAAATGGTATTTCTGCTAGGCAGCACGGTGGCACAACTGGTAGAGCTGCTGCCTCTCAGCGAGAAGGTCCTTGGTTCAAACCCCGGTCCAGGGGCCTTTCTGGGTGGAGTTTGCATGTTCTCTCCGTGCATGCGTGGGTTTTCTCCGGGTGCTCCGGTTTCCTCCCACAGACCAAAAACATGCATGTTAGGCTGATTGGTAACTCTAAATTGTCCCTAGGTGTGAGTGAGAGAGTGAATGGTTGTTTGTCTCGTTTGTCTCTATGTGGCCCTGTGATGGACTTGCGACCTGTCCAGGGTGTACCCCGCCCCTCGCACAGTGACTGCTGGACATGGGCACCAGCGACCCCCGTGACCCAAAATGGAATAAACGGGTAAAGATAATGGATGGATGGATGGATGTTATTTCTGCTTTCTTCTGCTAATTAAGGCTTGTTCTTTCATTTAAGCTACAATTCAGCATGTTGTTTTTAGTTAATTTCAGGTGTTTTTTTTTTCCATCAAGTTCTTCAGCAATAAGTATTCACACTGCATTTTTGCAGGAAAAGCAATTTCTCTAGTCCTATTCTGATTCCAATCACAGATACTATATATTATGAATATTCTCTTCATTTTGAGCAACTCGTATGCTTGTTTAACTTTGTAAACATTTTTAAAATGTGAGTTTTTCCCCAACCTTCTTTCTCGTCCCCCAGCCTTTACAGAGGATAGAGAATGACGTCGAGCTGCTTGGAGAGCACTTGTCTCTGGGCGCCGGGCTCCATTATTCTCCTGCTGCACACCCAGCCCTCACCCCTCACTCCACACAGCTTCACTTCCTCTCCCATGATCCTCTGCCACAGGAGTTCTTTGGAGTGGTGAGCATTAATAAAACGGATTAAACTGGGCACAGACCTGAGTGGAAGTTTCCAGTTATCCCTAAATATTTTTGCTTCTAAGGAGCCAGATTTGCTTATAATATTTAAAAGCAGTCCTTCAGATTTTTTTGAAGGTCTTTCAGACTTTTCATTGGAATTTTGTTGCTTTTTCACTTATTTTTGTTGTTGTTGTTGTTGTTGTTGTTGTTGTTGTTGTTGTTATTCCTGTATTTGACAAGTTTCAAAAGAAGATTTAGATATATATTTTTTTAAACTACCTAATTGTGACACAAAAGACTGACTCAAAAGATGAACCAGTGTTAACACCTAAAAGAAAACTTGGCAAAGAACTAACCTTAAATTGAATTTTTATGCACTTCGTTGACTGCAGCCTGTAACAAAGTACAGATTGTTTCCATTTCTGTAGAGGAAACTATGAAAACTACAAAGGATAACACAATGCGACAGATATAAAATAGTATTTTAGCTCCAATGTGGTGATTTTCAACAAGCTTTTTGATGAAAACTTGGCATAAAGTGGACGATCAGCTTAAGGATGATGCATCTTTCAGCTCTTTTATGCAGATTTGTTTTAATGTCTGTAGTTTGTTTTTGTCTTTGTGTTAAGCACACAATGCACATCATGCTGTCACGGTCCAGTACAAGAACCGGACAGAAAATGAGTGTAAAAGCAGCTAAAGTCCACAGAAAATCTTTGACTAATTGACTTTACATAAAAGACCAAGTGCTTGAAAGCAAAATGTAAACGAGAATAAAACGTCAGTGTGCACATTGTTATTTCAGTGAACTTATTTTGACAAGTTTTTGTCCTCTTCCCTCCAGTCCTATCCAAACTTCATCCCTCGGCGTCTCCCAGGGCGGCGTTACCGTTCACAACAGCTTCCACCTTCGCCTTACCACCCCAGCCTCTTGCCTTACTTTCTGTAGGTAGACTGGGAAACTCGCTCACTGAAACGACTCCAGTTTTGTACAAAATTAATACAGAATTATGCATAGACTATTACTGTAGACTGTTGCTTAATTTGCCACTAAAATGATATATTCAATGGATTTCCTAAAGAGGTAAAAGAAAAATCTATTTGAGTTGGTTTTAAATAAGCATGAAGTATAGAAAAAAGCAACATTTTCATTGTTTAGTTTTAGGATTATTTTTCTTTAACAACATTGATTCACATTGAGATAAAGGTTTTTAATGATTAAAAAAAAATATATATATCTGCTTCTCATCCAAACATGTATTAAATGTTTTTCTGCATAGCTCAATGCTGCCAGTCCAGCCCACAGGTCCTGCCATCAGCCTGGAGCTGGATGTAGATGATGGGGAGGTGGAGAACTATGAGGTTGTCCTGTATCCGTTTGATTAATCTGTGTATGTGCTCACAGGAGGCAGCTGTCTCATTCGTATGCTGTTGGTGACATTTTCTTCCTTAAGGCCCTCCTGAATCTTGCCGAGCGCCTGGGAGAGGCCAAACTCCGAGGACTGACCAAGGGAGACATCGAGCAGCTTCCCTCTTACCGATTTAATCCAAACAATCACCAGTCGGAACAAACACTGTGAGTTTTGTTGAAATATTCTCATGACGTTTTTATTAACTATAGATTAAGAGCTCTTTAACCAAAGTTTATTAATGAAAAATTTATTTTGAAGACAACTGCAAGTAACTTTGTTTTTCATCCAAAGACTATTTACTAAACAAACATATTTGCTTCTAAATATTGTCCCTAAATTATATCAATGTCAGTTACAGGTCAAAAGTCACCTAAAGTCACTTGTCATGCAAAACCCCCCAAAACAACTGTTTACGCAATATGCTTTTGTGTTGCTGCATATGATGCTAACACACGTCTGGTTGCAGGTGTGTGGTGTGCATGAGTGATTTTGAGTCCCGACAACTGCTGCGAGTGCTGCCCTGCAGCCACGAGTTCCACGGGAAGTGTGTCGACAAGTGGCTGAGGGTGAGTGAGACCAGCACCAGGACAAGAGACCGACACCGTGTCCAGGAGCACCTCTAAACTCTTCCAGTTTTCTATTCTTGCTAATAATTTTATCACTGTGTGTTTGTGTGCACCTTTCATAGGGTTCATAATTGTGGTATGTTTAATGAGTTTTACGCTTTTCTGACTGAGATTCTGCACTTTGTTTTAATCTAGTGTTGTAGATTGAAAGCTCCGATCAGATATTCACAACATGCTGTACATGGAGGGGGAAAGGTTTTTGTTCTTTGAAAGGCAAAACATTTTTTTTTAATCAAGTGTTGCAGTAACGTGACCTGGCAAGAGATTTGTCCAAAATTCAGCAATAGTCCCGAAAACATGCCAAACATCTAAAGTAGCTGTACTTCAGATTGTGAATTCTCCTTGTAAAAGTCCAAAAAACCTTTAACCTCTAAGTTCTTGTGTCAATCCTAACAGTTTTATGAGAGACATCAGCTGACCTGGGTCATAACCATTCAACCAACCAACAGCCAAATCAGTACAAGTAATCCAGTAAACTCAAGAAGAGAAGAGTTCTGATTTCCTGCTCTTTTTTTTAATTTATTATCATTTTGGAGCTGAAATATGTCTGCTAATAGAATCACCTCTTGAAGCTAATGTGCTGTCTTCTGTCCACCCTCAGGCCAACAGGACGTGTCCCATTTGTCGAGCCGATGCCTCGGAGGTCCAGAGAGACTCGGAGTGACCGCAGGAGGGAGCCGTGCTCTCCCTGCTGTTCGTCAAACATCCATCACTGCCTGCTAGTCGTGAATTGATGCACATCTGCACACTCTCTCTCTCTCTCTCGCGCGCGCGCGCACACACACACACACACACCTCCATTGTTGTCATTTTCTTTTTCAAAATTAAAGCATTGTAGATTTGTTGTTTAATTTTGTTTTATCATTACTGGTAAATATTTCCCATGCACTCCATTCTTTTCTGTACACTCTCATAGACCCTCACTTTCAATGAATGAGCCACGACTTTGCGCGCGCGCGCGTGTGTGTGTGTGTGTGTGTGCGCACATCGGCATGCGCCACAACTGTGCAAGCATTATTTTTGGGGGAGGGTTAGCTCTGTAATGCAGGTACGTGCCTGTGTTTTCAGTACACCTATTTGTGGGTGTGAAAGAGACTTTTTTTTTTTTGTCTCAGAGCATGCATGAGTTATTTTGTTCTGTAAAGGACAAAAGTAACATGAGAGTTTCTGCTTTCATGATTGACTTTTCTTCCTGTATGTGTGTTTATGCACTGTCTACATGCACAGTGTGTGTGTGTGTGTGTTTTCCAAGACTTTTCTCTAGTTGGACACTAAGGGTCCATGCTGCCACTGTAGTTTTGTAGTGTCTGATGAATTTGTTTCAGATTATTATTATTGTTATTATTATTATTATTATTATTGATTTTCAGTCACTTAACCTCATTAATTCCAAGCACTTCACGGTACTGTTTTGACATGAAGCAGTAATGGTTTTCCTTTTCTTCCTTTTTAAGAAACAAAGTTAAGTTGGTGGTTTATGCAGTGGCACATGTTACAAATATAGAAGTATATATACTGTATAAATCTATGAATATGTATACCAAATAAAAGGCTTGATATGAACTTTTAAAACCTTGTGTTTAGTATTTATGTTTGTTTTCCTGCCATGTAAACGTCTAAAAGCAAAGGGGACCGATGAAGTCTTACTGGGCTGCATTTCTTTGTGCCAGATTTGAAGTGTTTTTAAGTTCTGGTTATTTCACATAGTGCAGTAGCTACACCACTGGGTGGTGCTGCTGCACTTCTAAATGAGCCAGTTTGAATCACGTTGACTCTCCCAATGATCTGTAATGGAAGTCCAACTTCCCCCTGCAGGTTGTTTGTGAAGTCTGATTTGTGTGGAGACGTGTGATCTTTGTAAGAGTGAATTTAGGGTAATGCATATTTGCAATATGTCGACATGTTCAAATATTTGAATCCAAATGACTCGTGAGACTTTTTCAAAGCGGTTGACTGTAGTTTTTGAAATGATCGTACTGTTCCACTTAAAATGATCCTGGTGTGGATCAACTCGAGGTTTTCAATCCCATGAGCGACACTCGCTTGAGCAGACTGAACCCTACAGTGTTCCTTTTCTGACATGCAACATGGTCAAAACTAAAAGAGCATTAAATAAATACACTCCATATCTTTTTTTAGGAGAAATCGTACAATGTCAATCTTATAGAAAAGAGTATTGATGAAAAGAAAAACCAAATTAGACTACTTAGATTAGACCTTTTAATAAGGTAAACGTGACTTGATGAATGAATCCAGCAAACTTGCGTGTTACATCACTGACAGTTTTGTATTACGTGCTTATTTAGATTAATTTCTATGGTTGTTTGTAGTGGTAAAGCGCTCACAGCAGCTAACGGGAAGATAATTTATGCTGTATTTACAGCCTAATGCAAATCCAGTCAGAATTAAACAGTTTAAAATGTTTACTCATTCACACATTGTCGTCACTATACAATAAACTATAAGGTGCCTCTCAAACGATTGGAATATCGTGATTCAATTTTTTTTCCAATAATTTCAGAAAGTGAAACAGATTTATTTACACAACATAGGGTGAAATATTTCAAGCCTTTATTTCTTGTAATTTTGATAATTATGGCTTACAAATAATGAAAAACCAAAATTCAGCGTGGCCTTTTCTACAAAATATTTCTATTCAAATTGTCCAATTTTAAAATTTAAACATATTTGTAATGTTATTTACACTGCAATGTGGCTCACCACGTGATTTGAAACTCATAGTTATCACGTTTACTTGAAAAGTTTTGAATATCGTTTCAATTCACACTTTAAATAATTCTTTAAACCCCACAGCTCAGACGGAGACGAGCTTCTCTATAGTCAAGACTTCTAGACACTCAAAGGCATTTTAATATCGTGACTGAGCTTACTGCTCAAATTGAGGTCATACAAAGAGCCATCTGCAGCAGGTTAGATGTTGCTGTACACACAAATATCTACAGTTTCTAAAGGCCAGGTGTCACCTCCAGGCTTTGCTGCACACATGGTTTTGTTTTGACGAGTAGCTTGCCCCGGGCTGCTTGAGGTCTGCGGAACATAAATGTAAGTAATTGTCCCCATTCATCCATCCGTTCATGTTGTGAGCACGATAACTTGGAAAAAAGGTGAAGTACTAACTTCCATTTTGATGAGTGGCTGCATCTAGGGAAAGGTTCCTTTTTGAAAACTGGGTTGTTGTGTGAAAATCCAAGATGGCTGCAGCCATGCATTTATATAAACAGGCCACCCCTATCATTTGAGAAAACTATGCTTTCTAGTTGTTATATTGCTGAAAAGTATAGTTTCCTCAAATTATTGGGGTGGCCTAAGATTAATTTATTCAGTTTATTTAAATGGCACCAAATTACAACAGAAGTTGTCTCAGGGCACTGAAGACAATTCACATACGGACAGAAGCCAATTAGTAAAAGTTCTCTAAGGAAGGAAGCCAGCAGACTCGTCGAGTCTTCACTTCGTCACAGTCTCCATCTGACTTGTGAGTGCCAATGTCACCATTGACCACCCCCTGACTCTGTCATTGCACCTGCTGATGGATAAAATTGCTCCTTTTGCAGATCAGTAACTCTGCACCGGCTCTTGCAAGAAAAAAAACAAAACTCTGTTCTAACACGCATTGAATAATATCCCACTTGAATATCTTGCTTTAAAACATTAAGGTTTATTTGCATTTCCTGTTCAGTCCCAGTCCAGAAAAACATTCATCATGTAAACAAACATTCAGGGACAGGGAACATTGACTTGGCGCTTGTTTTCAGTAGTCGCAGCAAAAGGAAGACATTCATCAAGAACGTGACGGCGCACAGGGAGACGAGGACCGTGTTCCTCTTGTCCATATCACCAATTTTAAACCTTAATGTTATTTTCTGTTGATTTTTGGTGTGAAAAGTATAAACTCTCATTTTAGATCCAACAGCAAGTGAGTAGGCAAAACAAGTCATGAAAAACAACTTGTTTTAGGATGTGGTTTGTAGTTGGCAACAATTTAAATGAGTTTAATTATGCTTTTTTTATGAAGAACTGAATTTTATTTTATTTTTTAATCTTTTTTTTGTCTCCCTTTTTGCAACTCAAAATCTACAGCCAAAAATATAAAATAAAAAGGTCTCGTAATCTGTCAGACTTTATTCTTTTAAACGGAAGAAGGAAAAAAAAAACTTTTTGAATTTCTTAAATTCTGCTTTAAAACCAGGAATATGTCAGAATGCATTAAAATTAAGCAGTTAACATAAAAGCAGCTTACTTTTCATGAATTCATACTGCCCGCCGCCCTGCGTGCTAACAAAGACGGCGATCTGTTTGTGCTCGGAGTACGTGATGGAATGACTCTCGGCTACTACCACATCAAAATGTATCTCAGTTTCTGGGAGACTCAGTGACTTGTAGCCATTTCAGTGTTTAAGGTCAATTAGCTGTGGTGCCCATCTTGAACTGAAATGACTCCAGAAATTAATCAGATGAACCAATTACTTTCTGAGAAATTCATTAAAATCCAACCACTGCAGATATTTAGCTAATAATCAAATAAACACAAGCACCCAGGGGGTTACATGCTCACCCTCTGTATGCATTGATGATGGCAGCGAGGGATAAAAACTAATGTAAAAGAACCAAACATCTCACAGGTTTGTGATATTGAATCAGCCCCACTCCTCTAAATCTGAATACAGAACATTTAGGGAATTTTCAATGGTCAATTTTCAACTAAGATATTTTCAGCATTTAGGGAAACTTTATTTTTCTTCTGCATTTTGATCGTCTCAGAGGCTTTGAGTAATCCCAGCCTGACGCGTGTTGTGGGGATCTGAAACACAGACCTGTTGGATGTCTGTGCTTTCTAAACTGAAACCAGACACTTCAAATGAAAAGCCTTTTGTCCACTCCGATGAGCCACTGTCCCTGTAATCATTCTGTACAGCTCATAGCTTTTCCTTTTGCTTCTTCAACCCATTTTTAACCACTCCAGCATCATTTCTGCTCCATCTCCTCATTTTCTGCTCTCGTTGTCTTCACCACGAGCACTTCTGTCCTTGACCGACCTTGCTCTCCCTGCACCGTCCTCAAACTAAAGCATCTTCTCTTCCAGCCTCCTCCTCCGATCACCACACGCTCCTTCAACCTGGTTCTGCTGCACTGAAGCAGAAATGATCGGGCACTTCTGTCTGAAACACTTTGTCCTTTCCTGACGATTGCTTTGGAAGTTCCTAAACGCTGAAAGAACTTAAATTCAATGTGATGTTTTAACATTTGATTTATCTGAGCGTTGATTCGTTGAAAAATAGAAGAGAGGACTCTGCAGGATACAAATAAGTTGATTTGCTTCAAAGACCGTTGAAGTTTAGTCAGATTCTTTTTATGCTGTTCCTTATTAAAAAAAAAAAAAATCTGAATGCAGAATTTCTATATATTCTTGAAGAATTTGCTCAAATGTATTTGATTAAGTTTCAGCCAAGAGGGGTCCAACTGGTTGGAAACATTTCGTTTGATGGATTTGACAAACTCCAGTCACTCATCTGTGTCTCTGTCTCGAGGCTTTGTCCCATTTCACAACACGTTCCATGCAGCTTAAGCCATGAAGTAGAGTTGTATGTAAATCTGTTAATTTCAGGTTAAAGCAGTAGTTCAGGTTTTTTAAATTGAATTTATGAGAAAATGTTAGTCATGATAATTATCTCACCTGTTTTAGATAACTTTTTGAACGTCCTCAGTTTGGAAAAAGAGTTTAATTCTGTCTGGACTGCTGAGCTAATTACTGTGAGCAGCTCACCTTATAATGTTAATATTATTTTACAAAGCTTCACATTACTGCCTGTTTCATGTTTCATATGTATTCTGCTGCAGGGCTACAGCTAGCTGAGTTTTTTTAAAATTATTATTATTTTTTTGTATTGTTTGTGCTTGCTCTATTTCTCCAAACTG